CATTCAATGCAAATAGAATCAACAATTAAGACAGAAACAAAAAGAAAACAAACACCAAACTCTCCAAGCCAAAAATAAATTAAGAGAAACGAATGCAAGAAATGAAATTGAAAATGAGAACAACAATTAAAGATATAAAATCACACACTGAAAAAAAAATGGGCACGCAACGTCGTGCACACGACGTGCACACGACGTGCATCACTCGTAACAGAAAATGTACATGGAAAATGTAATGTACATGGAAAATGTAATGTGCATTAAAAATTGTGAACGATGCGAAGTACCTGACACTTAAATCACACATGAAAAATGTAACATGATACAATGTATCCTACTGCTAAGGCACAGGTACCACATGTCGAAAAAAGTACAAGAAACAGTAGTCCACAAGTCGTGTCGTAGCTGCCGAGATACTGTACTCAGTCTGCTGCAACCGACGACACTCTACGAACACCCTACTGGCACTAGAATCATACTCTACGAACACCCTACTGCTACCAAAATCATACACACCAACAAGTAAAGCACGCACACTACCACTGAGTGTCTGATAATACTAAGACAAGACGAGACGGCAAAAAAAACTCGGACCGCACAACATGACGAAGTACAGTGCCGCAGTGAGAGTAGGGGAGAAGCGGAGTGTTGGCCTCATCGGTCAACGACTCTTCTTCCCCTTCCCGCTCTGTCTCCTCGTACCCCCTCGAGTGCCGGATGTTGACCTCTTCCTCCCCCGTGCAGATGAAGAAGTCCGCGCAGCGGAGCGTGTAGATACTCACGTCGGTGGGGGTCCTCGGGGAGGTGGGGGCTCATCGTAGTCGTCGTCGTCGTCACCATCGGAACCGCTCCTGCTATCCTTCTCTCCCTCCTCCTCGCCCTCATAGTCCTCGTCCTCCTGCCGCACAGCCGCATCCATATCAGGATCATCCTCCTCGATGGTGACAGGGTTTCCTCCCTTCCCCAACCTAACAACCCTCGCACAAGCCTCTGCAACCGCCTGCTCACGGCGGGATCCACGAGGCATCCCCAACCCCTCCACCCCCAAACTCTTTCCAAGTGCAGCGCCTCCCGCTGCAGGCACGGGGCGTGGACGAGGAGGCACTCCACGCTTGGGTGGAGTCTGCTCCTACACGGCACACGTCGCTGCTCTCAGAGCGTGCTCCAAGCTCTCCGTGGACACTCCTCTGCCACGACCTCGCTGAGGCTCACAACCTGATGCTGGTACCTCCCTCGCCGCGGTCGTCCTGGCGCCACGGGGTCCCAAGCCCAGCTGAAGGCGTGCAGTGTGTTCTGTGACACGGCGGGTGGAATCCAAATCTATGTTTGTCCTCCCGAATAACGTCGTGTCACTGTCACACACGTCCCGTTGAACTGCTGTAGTGTCACGAATCCTACATCTCCCAGGCGTGTGTGGGGATCGAGAGCCTCTGCCTGTGGGTGACGATGATGGATCACCTACAGGTGGTCTAGGAGGAGGGGGTGGCATGTCTCCTGTGCGTGGCGCTGTCTCCATCACGCCACTCGAAACCCCTGGAACATGTCCCACGACACGTCCCCAGGTGGAGGTAGACCAAGACCACACGGGCGACGCAGGACCCCATGGAACTGAAGGGATCGCCTGCCATGCTGGATGCTCAAGCCTTTGGTCGAAGATCCGTCGGTCCAATCGAGTAACATCGCGCACAGCCTCTCTCGCCAACTCCTCTGCATCCAAAGGACGATGGACCTCTTGCGGAGCAAAGTGGCTAGGAAGACGTGGGGGCACAACCACCGGCTCGAACCCCAAATCCGTGATAACAGGCGGTGGCACACCATGCACTACCATCTGAACCGCCTACGACTGTCGGCCCTGAGCCAAGTGCAGGCCCGAGAACAGAACGATTGAACCCGTCGCTGTCTCCTGGACCATGCGCCGTGCGTCTATAGCCCCCTCGTCTCGCCGCTGTCCTGCGTGCACAGCCTCATCCACCGCCTGTGGCCGTCCCTCCACAGCAACGTCCGCTGCCTCTGCTCCACCCGACAATGCCTCATCGACCAGCTCTGCTGCCACTCCCTCCACAACGTCCTCCCCCGCCACCACCGCACCTTGCACACAATCCCCCCATGTCTCTCGAAGCCTGGCCTCGTCCAAGCCCCGTGCGAACGCCTAAGCACGCGGGTTACTCCATGTCAAAAGTCGAGCCCTCTCTCTCTCCATGATGTCGCGTGCTGCATCAGGAGACTCAGTCGTCCTCCTCTCCCTCGGGGTCTGCGTCAAAGTCTGTCCTGCCGCCTCGTCCCTCGATGGAGCCCGATCCGTCGATGTCGCCCCGCCGCAACTAGCTGGAAGGCCCATCAACAAATCAAAGTCTAAGTGGGTCCCCATCTCCGAATCCGAAATCCCAAACCCCCTCACCACACCCGAGGTCATAACCGCTATGACCGGATCGAGCTCCTCTGTGAGGAACTGCTGCATGAGGCGCTCGTCATCGCCCCCACACTACACCTCCGCCTGTGTGGCTATCTCCTCCTCCACTGGTCCTTCCACCCCCCCCTCCACTGCAGCTACCGACGGTGCCTCCTCCTCCTCCACTGCTACTGCCCCCTCCACCTCCACTGCTGCCACTACTCCAGCTGCTCCTCTTGCTGCTGCCACCTGCCCCTCCACTGCTGCTGCTCCTCCTGCCGCTGGTGCCTCCTCCTCCAACAATGATGCTGCCATCTCTTCCAGCACTGCTGCTGCTGCTATCTCGTCCACCGCAACTGTGATCGTCGCGTCCGCCAACGCCGCTGGTGCCATCCCCCCCTCCACTGCTGCTGCCGACGGTGCCCCCTCCTCCTGCAATATCCCGGGGGAAGGTGATCGTAACCTCAACTGGCGGACTGCCCCGCGTCTGTGGAGAAGTCCGCGCTGAGGCAAAGAGGACCCCAACTCCTCCGTGTTCGCCGTTGCCGTGGCCGGCTGAAGTGGCGAGACATACGATGGTGGTGCACGACTCGGAGCAAGAGGTGGCAGCATGGACGACCCCCGCCTCGTCGGAGTGGGGGTCGTCACCCGCGCCTCTGTGCCGCCCGTGGAAGCGACCTCCTCGAATGGGCCCCAAAACTCCTCCTCTCCCCCCAGCATCTCCCTGTCCGCCCGGTCCGCCGCCCGTCGTGCAGTGTGTGCCCTCGTCTCCTCGGAGTTGGGATCGTCGTGTGTCTCGTCGATCTCGCGGGGAATGCGGAGCGCAGGGTCATCTGCCGCCTCGGGTACCGGCTCCTTGTCCGAATCGTCCTCCCTAGGGTAGGGACCAAAAATGCAGGCACGTCTACCGAAAACGAAATCAGCAGAAGGTGGTGCGGAGGCCCAGATGGGATCCTGGGTAATAAGCGCAACCTGACGGGAAATCGCCTCCTCCGTCATCCCCCTACGCGTGCCCGTCCGCACAGGCTCCACCTCGAGTCCTGCCTGGCAATCGAGCATGCTCTCGTCCCGCTGCCATGGCAGCACATAACCGCATCCAACCCGTCGATACTCCGTCAACCGCACATTTGCGGTGATCTCAACGAGTTGAACGACCTTCTCGAAGGCCAACTGGTTGCGCTTCTTCGTGTGAATACCCTTACAAGGGTATCCGCCCTGGGTTTTTGCAGATGACAGAGAACAATGAGTTTGGTTGAAATAAGCCGTGTGAGGCACGACCACGTCCGAGACCCGCCCTGGCTAAGTCAGGGTGTATGTGGGCGCGCGAATTAAGGCGCGCGTGTGATTTCTTTGATTGAGTGAACGGCCGGCCTAGTCGACCAACTTGGACCGTGCTACGGTTTCGACTAAGGGATAAGAGTCTGCTTTTGGGTCGACATGCACGACCGACGGTAGGACTGGCGCGCGGGGTGGCCCGTGGGATAGCCACGGCGCGGATCAAGTAGGCTGGTGCCGGTGCCTGGTGATGGCGTGCCGGCCGTGGTTGGACAGGAAGGCCCAGGCTGTTGTTCCCAGGCCTAAGTGCGGCGCGACACCACCTCATATTTAAGTTTGCGCGTTACTGTGTCAGGCTTGGGCTTAGCCCCATTGGTTACGGTATTGGGCTACTGTTACGGGGATGCAGGGATCGAGACCAGCGGGCGTCGGCGCAGCAGCGGCAAAGCATCGTGGAGGAAGCTAAGGGGGTTGAGGGCCCGACGGGGCTATCCCCCCTTGATTTTGCTGATAGGGGCGGCGACGGATCTGGTCCGCGGGGCCAGCGGAGGTTTTAGTAGTCCCCGCACCCTGCCTGAAGGTTTTTATTATTTTCGATATTTTATTTTCTCTTCTCTTCTTTGTTATTCGTGGGCCGTTGGTTTGGGGGCGCGCCTCAGCGGCTGGCGGTTTAGACTTTGGAGAGCCGCGGACGGGAGAGCACCGCAGCTAGGTCCTTCGGGACATCTGTTAAAATTGGAACGATACAGAGAAGATTTGTATGGCCCCTGAAAAAGGGTTGGCGCACTAAGGTCCAGGACGAACCCGGACGGAGAGCGTGCCGGGTATGTACAGGCCAGCGGGCCGACCAGGCGGATGTGGCGCGGCGGCAGGCGGAAAGGGGAATGGGGCATTCCGGACGGCCCAGGGCCGTTCGAGCACTGAGAGGTCGCGGGGCATTGCCCCCGGTAAGTCCTTCGGGACATCTGTCGAAAAGTTGGGACGACATGGCCCCGGCGCCGGAGTAAAACTTATAAACCAACGAGGGTCCAACAGCCGCCTGTTTTAACGTTGTTGTCGGACCGGGCAGCCAAGCAGGGGGCGGGGCGATATCGTGGCATTCCACGCAGTGTCGGAGCGAGGAGTAAGCCGGGAGGAGAAACGGTGGGCTGAGGCCGACCGGTAAACGGAGCAGAGCGGGCAGCCGCTGGCGCAAGGAGAGGCGCAGCAAACGGCGCCGACGAACCGGGACGAGGGACTGTGGTAGGTGCATGCGGGGTAGAGGGAGGCTGGTGATGGCGGACAGGCGGGTGAGGCGCAGCAGGGGCGGGGCTGCTTGCGCGATACTGGGTGCAAACAGGCTAGGGGAGAGGCTAACTTGGGGTTTCGGGGTCGGGCGAGTCCACTGGTGGGCTTAGAACGGAGAATGGTGGAGTGTGGTGGGAGGTAGGGAAGAAAGGTCATGCGCGGGCTATGGTGGGAGGTCGAGTGAGGAACGGCGGAAAGGGGACAGAACTGCGATTATCAGCGGAATCAAGCAAGGAGGGGGGCGATTTCGGGGTTCTTGCCCCGGGCGAGTGGCGTGGCGACGTTAGAGCTAGCGTTAGTAGCCTAGATTAGGAGTTAGTCGAGAGGTGGGCCGCGCGGTGATGTCGGGGTGTGCAGGATATGGCGGAACGAGAATGGAAATCCCGCGCGGTCTTTGTGGGGAGCGGGCACGGGAGAGTGTGATTTAGAGGTTCTTCGGTGTTGCGCTCACGATGACAAAGGGAGATTGGGGTGTTAGTGAGGGAAGGCGCCGGGAGGTGGGAAACGCAGATATGGTAGTGTATTTTCCCCTGTTCTAGCGATAGATTCATTCAATTTTCTGCACGTTTGACTAGCATGGGCAGTACTGCGTTTACGGGGTAAGAGGTAACAGCGCCGAAGAAGGCGAAGGGGAGAAGAAAAGGGGAGCGGGAGTGAAAGCTACCAACGGGTATATTTTGCAGGGCATGCGTCTGTCCCTGTTTTGAGTGAAGATTCATTCTTAACTTGCACATAGAAGGAGTATCTGACAAGAGTTCGGTAGAAGGTCCTTTCCGAGTTTTGCTTGTTCCGGGGCTGGGGGACTCTCGCACTGGCCGGTACATTACCGACTCGTTGAACAAGAGCAAGAGGAGGCAGTGGTAAGCCGACGGCGCAGGTGCAACTTGATTCATGGCCGATCCGTGTGGACTAAGAGCGGGCTAAGTGGCGCTATGCGCAAGCGTTGTGGTTGTTCCTGGTTACTACCAACGCGGTATGTCCAAGGGGCCGCTCCTTACTGTGCATTCTAGCTGCTGCAATATCCGTTGTTGCTCGGCTGTTGTGCGGGCCGCAGGTTGCCTCAGTTGTGCTCTTACTGCGGAAAGCTGTCGTATGGGCGACGGATTGCTGTGGTTACCAAGCAGTACTGAACTGCTGAATGTGTTGTAACTTGTTGAGCTGTAACTGGTTCGTGAGGTATAATGGTTGTTGAAGTTTCGGGTTGTCTGATTCGCTGGTTGAGTACTATGTTTGAACACGTATCTCACTGCAACCCACCACTATACGTAGTGACTACAACTGGTAGCAGTTGTAGTTGCTATGTTGGTTGGTGGTATGACTGGGCGGGGTGCTGTATGTCCGCTGTCGTGCTGAGTTCGTTGCGTTTTCACTTGCGCCTCGCCACACAGCCTGCTGTGTGTGTCCATACGTTGAGACTGAGCACACAAAGGGGGCGCTGGCTTGAGTGTGGCCAGTTGAGACTGTGCAGCTGCAGTTTCATCACAGGAAGTTAAGGCGTGGTGTAGGAAAGAGTGGTCAGACTGCAGGAGGAGTTAGTGCTGCCAGTCAGGGGTTCGTTAGAGAAAGCTACGTCAACAGTTTGACTTCGTCTAAGCGAGCGACAACAGTCTTTGGCCGCCATTGCGGGACCCTCAGGCGCATCAAGGCAACAAGGCCCTCTCCTGCGAGTCTGAGTGCACCTCCCTTGTATCTGAGAGACTAAACGCTTCTCCTGCCTTTCTTAGTCTAAGTCTAATCCATTGGTTCTGAGAGGAAGGCGGCAGGCGGGATTGCAACCCGTAATCCGCGCCAAGGCCTCTGCGGGAGGTTGCCCCACCGATTGCGGGAGCTCTGCCGGAGCCTAGGCGAGGCTCTGGAGGCAGGGAATTGAAAGGTAATCATTGCTCCCCCTCTATATACCCAATTATAACCCCTATCTGTACGTCTTTCTATGCGTTGACTGAGTATGCTGCATGCACCCCATATTTTGACTTTGATTTGACTGAGAGGACACAACTCAGATTAAGTGAAGGAATGTGTGTGCAATCTCAGTTTCAGTTTTTGTTGATTGCCTGAAGGCAGATTGTGAACACAAGGGGCTGCTTCTGGGGGAAGGGTGGGTGAAAGGTGGTTTTGCCTAAGCATGAATGGGTCCTATGGGGTCAGACCAGTTCCATAAGATTGGACGGTCTGATTGCTCTGAATTGTGAGGGTTTGACTGTGGCTGACCTTTTATGGGTCAAACCTGTACCATAAGATTGGAGGGTCTGGTTGCCATGTTTGATTGGGGTTCATTCTGTTTCTTTTGTTTCTGATCAAGGAGGTCTGAGCAAGTCCATAAGATTGGACGGCTCAGCCCCCCTCTTGTTTTATTCAAGAGGGGATAATCCTTGCTGAGGGCAGGGCATGTCCATAAGATTGGACGACCTTGGACTCATGCTGTACACAGCTGGGTCAGAGAGAAATGAACCTGGCAGAGGTTATATTCTGAGAAATGACTTCGATTTTCTACGGGAAGCGCTGCCGAAATTTTCTTGATTTAGAGGAGTTAGGCTATATTCTGACAAATGACGATTCTGGCGATCCATCCTGAATAGGGGAGATTCTGCCGTTAGTCTACCTTTGCTTGGGCACTGACTTAGAGGTAGACTTTGATTTAGTTGGTAGGTAACTTGGGTGAGAATGTGCTATGGAGGGTCATCCCCCACATGATGATGATTTAGCTTGGGCATTGACCTGTCTTATGGTACAGGCCTTTCTTGGACATTCGATTCAGGACTTGGGCTAGTTCAGCTTGATCCTGCAAGGATCATCATCTGTTATCACTGATAACAGGTCGGTTGCCGATTCGTCGGCTCACGACGCAATTCCCACTCGCTCCCCATACTCAACCTAAAAGGCTTTAGCCCTGGTGATTTTTTTGTTTGTTAAGGGTTTCACCCGGACTTTTATTGAATGACCATTTAACAAAGGTATTGAGTATTTAATTGAGGTTGGTTGGCTGGAGGTTGGGGTTTGCATGGCTAAAGCGAGGGGTATGAGTATAGGAACTGGTTGGAGTTGACTCCGCGTAGTGCGTGGACTCTTGTCTGACTTTTGATGTGATTGCAGGTATGTTCAAAGACTTGGGGTTTTGGTTGGGTTGCCCTGCGGTCGCATATATATGTATGGCTAGGAGGAGACCCACTATGACTGTGAGATGTGATCGTCACATAATTATTCCCCTTGTGCATGTATATATATATATATATATATATATATATATGTGTGTCAGTGCATGTGTACCTACGTGAGGAGCTAGCGTGGCCTGAAGTGCCCGTTTACTAAGGGTCAGTCGAAGGTTGGGGTGAATAGAAGGGAGGGGGTATCCCTCGCCAATTCTTGTTTCTTTTCCTTGTTGCGATTCATCTTGGTGGAACGATAAAGTTCTGGGCGGAAGGGTCAGTGTGTTGCTGGTGATGCGCCAGATAACTCACCACCGCTCCAAACTCCCTCCTGCCCTAGGGGCCATCTTGCCCCGCACCCGTTGGGACACCTCAGGATGCAGAAGACGG